TACGAAGTAACAGACGACGCATACCTCACTGAGCCAAGTACCCAGTTTTTATATACCGCTCCAACTTGCAACAAACAAATATACATGGATCATTCAAATTATACTATAAATAAAATAACGACTTTCTTACAATATTAACACACTGTTTAAATGATATGAAAAAAAAAATTCCACACGAATCGCAAAATAGACCTTATTATACAGAAGAACATTGCTTTAAAAGGGCCAGCTTCATGTATATAAACTGTTTTTACTTTCAGGTTTAAAATGTGATATATTAAGTATTAACTCAGATTGAAACAATTCAAGCCATCAAGTACATTCTTCAGCTTTGAGGAACATGACACAGTATATAATATCTAAGGAATATGTTCTGAAATTGATCTTTTAAAGATATTTTATATTTATTTATATTGGAACGGAGACATGGAAACGCAAATGAATTAAACGACTTTAGTCTCTTTTTCTTTCTTTTTTAGTTCTTGTTACTATTAGGCGGGCGAGTTATAGCCGATGGGGTAGAGGCGAATATGAGCAGAAGCCAATACCTTCATTATGAAAATGTCTGTAGTATTCTAATAGTTGGACCCAGTAACCAAAATGATATGGCAAACTTACAGATCTTCTCAATATCCTCTGACAGAACAACTGATCCCAGTCTGACTTGGGTGGTTGAAGCTGCCAAAAATGTCGATAATTTTCATCTAACACAGATTTTACACTCGTTTGAGTAGTGTGCTTGACGGAGGAGATTATCTCATATATATATATATATATATATATATATATATATATATATATATATATATATATATATATATATAAATCAACAAGGGGGGAAAGCTTTTATGTCGACTCATTTCGTTCATTGCCGAACTTTATCCAGGAAAGCAAATAAAAATCTCATTTAAAAATCAGCATTTATACATTTCTGTATTCTTTTTTAAATGAATGAAAAACGCTTCAGCGTAAATGGCTTTATCAGAGACAATTATCTATATATATATATATAAATATATATATATATATATATATATATATATATATATATATATATATATATATATATATATATATATATATATATATATATATATAAAACGAAATAACGATTTTTATAGAAAAAAGAAAATACGATGTATAAATTTAATCCACCCAAGATCTGTCAAACAATATAACTCTATACATGCATATATATATATATATATATATGTATGTGTGTGTATGTTTGTGTGTGTGTGTGCGTGTGTGTGTGTGTGTGTGTGTAAGAGTGGTTAGTGTGCTTCGTATTTCACAATACACGTTTTGTGAGCTATAAATTGAAGAAGACTTAGCCAGCGGAATGTAACTCGGTGTGCATAAAATTTTAACACGGTTGTTTTCGATTTGACACAGGAAATGAAAATAGCCACTATGCTTAGGGGCACCAGCCAGCAACCACACAGATTATCAGCTTGGTTCGTGTTCAAGATCAGCAGCCAGCTGTCTGGGAATTGTCGTCCTAGGTTAAGTGAAAGAAAATGTTACGGGTCAAATATCGTAAGGTCTGCCATATTTGTCAAGTACATCCACTTGTTTAAATTCCACCGCCCATGGAGATCCTGTAATGATGGAGCATCCTAGGAGAATTCGTACGCGTTTTAGGGTGTCTCTAATTCCTCCCCTTATGGCGTAGGTAACCTTGGAGTAGCTGATCATGATCATGTTGCACGAAGCTAGGGTCATCCTTATTTTTGAATCCCTTGGACTACTACGTCTGTGTACCCAAAACGGCAGTTACGAATTGCAGAATGTAATGAGAAAGGATTTTAAATCTACAACAACCAATGAATTAAAAAGACATAAATCTCGTTACAGATAACGAAGGGATTTGATGCAATAAAGATATAGTTCTACCAAAAATGCTGAGAATACCATGGACACCATATTGAAAATATGATTAATGTGGAAGTTACAATATCAGCTGTATAACAGACTGACAGTTGGCATGAAACTTTAAGTCGCGGAAAAGCAACAACAATAGAGTATTGTTTTTTATATATTTGTATATTATATATATATATATATATATATATATATATTGTGTGTGTGTGTTAGAGAGAGAGAGAGTTAAAGATCAAAATAAGCAGATAAATTATGGATCGGAATACAACAGGATGATAAGGTAAATAACAAATAGGAAACGTTTGACAGTCTAACATGTTTTACTTTTATTAAAACTTCATCAGTGACTGAGAGAAAACAGACAAAAAGACGGAAGTTCTCGCATTATCAATGATGTGAAGTTCGATTAACATTGGCCAGTCGTGTATCACGTGCACTGAGAAATGTCAGGCACACATAAAACACACAAAATTGAAAATACCAGAACATTTGGCATTTCGTCTGTTTTCCCTCAATTTCTGACGAAGCTTTAATAAAAGTGAAACATAAGATTGATAAGCGTTTCCTATTTCTTTTTCATCTTATCATATATATATATATATATATATATATATATATATATATATATAAACACTTACTTTTAAAATCAAACTTCACGGATGAGGAAAAGAATGAGCTATTCAGTAATAGAAAATATTTTGGGCGTCATTCATAATTCCTTTATTTTCTAGCAACAATACTTACAAAATATTCTACACAGAAAGATATATATATAAATGTATATGAAGAGTGTAATATATATATATATATATATATATATATATATATATATATATATATATATACTGGTGAGACTTACTGCCTCTCGATCAGCTTAAATAGTGTTACCTCTGGCACGGGTGTTCGATAAGAGCGGAGGATTATCTCCTTAATATTCCCTCTTGGATCACCAATCACAAAGCTAGTGTCGCGACAAAAGGCGCCGGATAACGTCAAACCGATCGTACTTAACAAAGGTCATCCGCTTTAGGTCGCTTATATTTACTGACATCTAATAAACAAATGCTTGAAACACACATACACACACGCATTCTGTTAGATGAGTATGTTTACTCTCAATCACTGATGTGTAGATATAATTACGCGTAAGGTGCTTCGATGTTGTGTAACCAATAGCAAGCCGCCATTGAAAGCTATTACATATGAGTTCGATCCTCGCTGTATGACTTTTCATACAAAAATTACTTTTCCTAAAATCTATAATATATTTTTTATAAAGGCAAAATATATAGTTATCAACAAAAGAAATACGAACTAAGAACTGAAGATATCAATATCAAAAGAAATACGTACATTTAAATGTTTACGAAGTGTTTTAACAGAGGACGGAATATGTGACACTGAAAATCGAAATGTACCTTCCAAAAGCTAAGCAAACTACTAAGAAACATGAAATGTGATGAGTGACAACGTTGTAAATCCAGTCCGGGTGTGAGGAAAAACATGGAGGTCCATGAGGATGAAGTTATTTTCTTTGATCCAATAAATCCTGTCAAGGTGACCGCATTACATGTCACATACGCGTCAAACCGTGTAAATCTATTGCCTGAGCAAAGAGCCACCTTACAGTACACGTTGACAATTCAATGATGTGCAATTAATGAGACCCTGTTCATCTACAATGATACGGCAATCATCACCATATAATATATATTACGTTTATTTTTAACCTTACAATACAATCGTGAAAGATAATATGTTCCATTTAAGTATAGACATTAATGAAAAAAAAATCCTGTTTGTAAAAGGCCAAAGAAAACATTTATACATCCTAATCTGGATTTTTTCTCGATGCAGTCCACAAATAAATAAAAAGAGTCCTGTAAAGTTAATAAAATTCAAATTTCTCTACATTGGGAAGGATATTAGACTAATCCAGAACCTATACTTTGATCACGCTGCCTGAATACGAATAGAAAATGAATTCAGTAAATATACAGAAATAGAAAGAGGTTTAAGACAAGGATGTGTCTTCTCGCCGGATTTATTCAACCTATACTGTGTAGCGATTCTGGGAGTTAGAAGTCCTACCAATTGCCACAATCATAGCAGCGTAAGATAGGCAGATGACACTGTGCTGGTAGCAGACACAGAAAGGAAACTGCAAGTATTCCCACAGAAGATAGTGAAGAAAAACGAGAAGAAAGGACTAAACATCAACTGCAAGAAGACCGAAGGCATTGTTGTTAGTAAAAGTAATAGTCTAACATGTGAATGGAAAACTGTAGATACCAAAAAATAATCTCACATCCAGTCAGTGAATTTAAACGATCTCTGATTTTGGGTCAAATCTGATTTAATGTAACATATATGTTATTAAAAAAACATTCCATATTTTTCTTTCTGTTTCTTTCAAGAGTGGGGGGTTCTCTCTAAATAATATGTCATTTGTTCTTCTAATAATTTTTTTCTATGTATTCTATATTATTATTATTGATAATGAGTGAGAGAACCGTGTATCTACAAAGTAATGCTTGAATACAAACATACGCAGTCCAATGTACCCATCAAGACACAGAGTCTGATAAGGATATTCCAGGCACATGCGTCACTGGTAAATGTATGCGATATGGTAACAAGTTTTAATAAAAGCAGCACATGGCCTTGCAGGTTGATCGCGGTCCGAAATACCTTCAAGTCGGGTTACCTAGTTCGTTCAACATTCTACAGTTAAGGGTGTTTCCAAGTATCTAGATGTGACTTCGTTCTTCAAAATTAATAAAAACAACCCTCTCGACATCAAGTAATGATGTTCCTATCCAGCCCTATATTCTCGTTCAGGAAGAGAGATGCACATAATGTCAGAATTTAAGTGACATAGCCAACTGGTTATGGTTATACAATTTACAAGCAAATCTTTGTTAATGAAAGGAGAGATTTAGATTTAGTCTATTCTATTTTAATTCACCGACACAAAACAGGTACATATTAACATCTACAATAATTTAATAACGTAAGCTATGAGAGAATTTATTATTATTATTATTATTGAGCAGTAGGTAAGTTTAGAGCAGCAAACCTGTTGTGAAAGGATAAGTGTTGTAGATAAACTAAGGTCACTGGGTGGGGCTGCGAGTATTTAAGAGCGCCGCGCAAAAGCTTGCCAATTGCCATTTATCATTCGAAAGAATTGGTGCTGTGCCGTCCACTTGAATCGGCCAGTCCCAAGGTGACGGACAATGCATCACACTTGCACGCAGGCAGCACTTGCTGGACATCAATCTATGACAGGAATGGGAGACACGGCAGCGATTGGATCGATCGATCAGGTTGACCACACTGACGTTAGCAACCTCGTATTGGGAAGGAAAGCTTGTGCGCATGAGCAAGACTAAAAACTAAAAACGCATCCATGTAAACCTTTGCGAATTCAAAGCATTGCAACATTTGCGGCAAGGAATCTTGTGTGAAGGGGTGCTGGAAATTTCTCAGGCCGTTTTCTCATGACCTATAACAACAACAACAAAATGGTTGTTCATCTGGTCGGGCTGTCTTGAATAATCAATGCTTGATAGATAAATGTTATAGGGAAATATAGACAGAAACAGAGAAAAAAAAGGGAAAATAAGGTGGGCGAGAGAGATAACTTGATAGTGAGGAAGAGAGAGAGAGGGGATGGAGAGAACGTGAGGATCCGAAAGCGAGAAAGTCAACACTAGAGAGAGAGAGAGAGAGAGAGAGAGAGAGAGAGAGAGAGAGTGAATCTCATGTGTTCATGCATGGTAGTATAGTGTGGCAGGAACAAAAATAACATTTATTTGAAATTGATTCTTTCATTTGATACGAAGTTTTGGAAAAGGATTCCAGCTTCTATTATATTTTATACCAGAGTATTTCAGATGTTAAGCAACGCCGAGCATCGTCAGTAACTAGATGGGTGACCACTTGAGAATAACAGATACTGTAAGATGTGGTGTGTGGGTGTTATAATGGAATCGGAGATTGGAGAGCCGAAATCCAATTCCAGTCGATTTCGTCTTACACGTAAATACCCTAGGAAAAATTATGAATCTACATTTTATCCCTTGCCCCAGCTATGGATTAATTAGTAGGACTTGTAACAGTATATCATCCCCCAGTTATGGATTAATTAGTAGGACTTGTATCAGTACATCATTATTATCTCCACAAAAATTTCTTACATATTAAACATATTTTCCGGTTTTAAATAGCCTGCAATAGGTTTATAAACCATGAAAAGAAAATTTGTGTACCGGCACGATTAGATTATTTTCATCGACCCTATTCCCCATCGTTGGCACAGTACACTGATGATATTTCAAATAATTTTCTCCGAGGTACGATTATATTGTCCCGCGAATTCTGCAGCATTAGAAAATACACTCTCCTGTTAATTTCATTTTAAAAATTGAAAATTCCCACCGGCATGAATATTCCAGACATCACTTATATTTGAGAGGAAAAAATAAAAGAAGCTTTGTCGATTTGGTACCTTTATGAGATGTACGTAGCGGAAGGTATTACAAGCAATAAAACCTAAAAGCCCTTTTCTCCGTTAAAAAACGTTTTGGCTATTTTTCATTCGCAATTTTTTGTCATCTGATCGAAGTAAGATGGTTAACAATAATTGATACTTTGGATTCCGAGTCGCTGTCAAAACTTAAAATAGGTTTGGTTGAATATTTAAATCGCTTACCTTTTTTTTTTCTTTTTTTTTTTTTTTTTTGTAATTTTTGTAATTTTTTTTTTTTAATTCCACCTTGAATTTTTAGTCTACGCAATTCTTCTATTTTTATTTAACGACGAAGCTCGCATTTCTAAACCGATTGCATTGTTTCATGTTTTCTTTCAATCACCCCTTACTTTCCCTCTCTTCTATTCACTTTCCACTTCGAAAATTCTCAGAGGAAAAAAAAAAAAAAAAAAAAAAAAACAAACAAAAAACATCCAAAAACCACCCACTCCCTTTTTTTGTTTGGTTCTCTCTCAAATCCTTCACTTTCCTCCCCGCTTTACTCACACTCGCATCTGCACACGTTTTTACTTATCTATTCACGACTTTTTCGTTTTCTCGTTGTTTCACTTTCTCATACACACTCTCTCTCTCTTTCTCTCTCTTTTTAACATCCTCGCGTTAAGATGTCTTTCTTTCACTTTTCAACCCTCACCCGTTTTTCCTAATATTATCGTCTTCTCTTCCTGTTGCATTTCGTGTTATTCAACAACAGTTGTTCGTCCCTTAATTAGAACAAGTTGTTTAATTGTAAGAACGGATGGAAACACTCACTGGAAACATCGCATTAACACTGTTAAGCTTCACCGAGTTCTTTATATATATATATATTATATATATATATATATATATATATATATATATATATATATATATATATATATGTATAAATCCCATCATTCTTACATGCAGGAAAATAGTTCTATTTTTTTATAGGTATTTCTTTTCTGTTTTTATTTTTCCCTTATTTTTTTTATTACGAATTTCAAATACGTTTTCTTAGCATGGGACGACTTCTGCTGAATTCAAGTTGTGCGCAGTGACGAAATTTTAAGCGTCTTTTAAGAAAGCCATTTGTTCTTTGCAACTCTCATCAGTACGACAGTGAACGACATTAAGAAAAGCAAAACAACAATAATGTCTTTCAGATTTAAGCGTTGAGATAAAGATGAATTAACCCATCCCTAAGATACATTTAATCTAGATATGATAAATATTATGAAATAAATAAATCGATCTTTCGATGTAGAGTTAATTATTAGGAAAAGTTCATATATCTCTCGAACATAATAGTTGCATACGTAGGTAAATTCAAATTAAATTTGATTAATTATGCAAAAGAGAATGGAAATATGTCCATCAACAGAAAAAAAATGGTTCGATGTTGGTGTGATCAAAAAAAAATTGATCAAATGATGTTTTAAACTATCAAATTGAATTTGTGTTCAATAAAAAAACTCTTTCAGATACAATTGCAACTTACTTCTCCAAAACTGTCTTTTAAATAATGGTGCGTCATATACTGCGATGCGTCTTATATTTCGAAAAAATACGGTACACGCAATTATGTTGTAGCTGAAGTCATAATCTGAAGTAAACTACATAAATCTACATTTGTAACACCAAACAAATAATTCCACTAAGCGAGCATTAAAAGAAATACTAAGCTTAAGTGTGCGCACGTTGGAACAATAGAATAAAATAAATAAATAAATATACCACTATATTGAAAAAAAAAAAAAAAAAAAAAACATTTCAAATACATTAGCCTGGATTCATTTTTAAAAAAATGACGGAATTTCTAAGTTATTCCAGATTTCTTTACAGATCTGTTTGACTGATATTTCTTCAGAATAGGGCTTACGGTTATGTCATGTTGAAACACCAGTTCCCATACGATCACCGGAGTTAAGCAACGTCGAGCCTGGTCAGTAGCTAGATGGGAAACCGCTTTGGAATATTACGTGCTGAAAATGTGGATATGCGGGTGGTGTAAATGCTTAAAATTGTTAATCGGGGAGCCAATTTCAGTCAGGGACGTTATATTCACTTACGCACAAATATACTTGGGAAAGGTAGGAATTCGCCTCGTATCCCCCAGCTATGGGTTAATTAGTAAGACTTGCATTACTAAATCGTTATCTAAAAAAAAAAATTACAATCTAAAATATTTTCTGGTTTTAAATAACTTTTATAAGCCATAGAAAAAGAATCAATGCATTATTATCGGACTGATTTCACCAAAAAAGCTTCCATTGATTTCGAACCATTAACAATCTTTTTTTTCGTCGTTCCCAGTGCAGAAAATACAGAATAATTGTAAGAATTTAGTAAAAGAAAGTTTGGATAAAAACTACAAAATTCCATTAAATACAAACAAAGAACTGTGCCAAATAACACAAAGCATATAACTTTAGAAGACATTCAAAAGCAACTAAAATGCATAGCCCATGTAAGAATAAATAATGACATAATCAATATTTTGAGGTTCGAGATTACTTCAAGCAAAATGTTATGAAGGAATCCCCATCAATACCAGAAAGAGCGATCACAGCTACTGGACTATAAGTCAGTTAAATGTCACACGTGATACACGCTTGGGTGATCATGCATCTTTCGATATATGATTGACAATGGAGAAGATTTTTCCCGCAGCAGTTTTCCATTTCTTATATGGTAGACTGGTTGTCAACCAAGGCTAAAAAACCCAGTCTACCCTGCTATCGAACCCATAGATGGGGGAGAAGATATGGATTCATACCTTTCCCAATGTATTTGAGCGGAAGTGAATATAACGAACTTGACTGGAATTCGAAATCGGCTCTCTGAGTCCTCGTTCCGAGCCGACATCCATTATTCCTCAACGCACATAATGGACTATAGATACATTTTCTAGAAAAATTGTTATACAAGAATTAGTTTATAAATTTCAACTGGCAGTAACACTGGCTGTTCGATCAATGAATGCCAAATGTT